ATCTGCTACCACCATAATCCAGGCATCCTTTGTGTCTGCTACCCAGCCACAATCCAGGCACTTGGAGTCTGGCGAGTACACACTTGAAACTTTTCATGAACCACTTTTTGAAAGAATTATTTCCTAATTGCTGTCCCTGACACACGTGCAGATTCTCCAAAAGCAATCTCTAGAAGGTTAAAGATCCTTTTTTGTCTAGACAGGGTGTCTCAGTGTGTACTACACCCGTGGGACACTGATGCTGTAGATTTATCCTCCTGTGCTGGCTGTGACCTTGCGTTCCATACTCTGCTGAGTGTCCTCTCTAACACAGGCTTCAGTGGCCAAGTCGGCAAGTTAGCATCATTGTCTAAAATATCACCTGAAATAATTTCTGTGTCAGGATTACTGTTTTTCTTCATGTCTGTGACTATTTAATCAGTGGATTCAACAATTTTTTCATTGTAAATGAATTGTCTATTGACCCATTGCTTATAATAAGCTCGCTCGGTTTTTAAAAGTGAGTATTTAAATCTTGTGTATTTTCTTCTCCGCAGCTTGGCCCAATCAGCCTTGTGTTTATAGGGATTATTTCCGTCCACTGTATGCACATATTGGTACGTTGCAGTCACTTTCTATGTCAGAGGTAAATGTGGACTCATTAAGTCTCTTTGATTTATTGTTCAGCTTCATATTGGCTTAGAGCATCCTTGTCTCGTGTATCTACTGTGCTGTTGTGCTTTGCCTTGAGAGGTTGTGTTTCCTTCCACACCCGACACTGCTAAGATAATAACCATGGGGCAGGCTAGCGTTTTCTGTAGATGATGTGGTCAGGACCTGTGGGCAGTCATCCCTTGTGTCCTCAGAGGACTGCTTTCAGGGTCCCCATGGATACCTACACATGCTCAAGTCCCTCACATAAAATGATGCAACCTCTGTCCCACCTTCCAGATGCCACAATCATCTTTAATGCAGTATAAATGCTATGCACATTATTATTTTATACTATTCACCAAATAGTGACAAGAAAAATAAAGTTGTGTATGTAATTATCACAGACATGTTTTTTCATGAATCTTCTGTATGCAGTTGGTTAACCCACACATGAGGAACTTGTGGGTAAGGGGGGATGATGACTGTACTTCCTTTAGTGTTGACTGTTGTCTGTGTGTATACGCTGTATGTACGTGGGCACATGGATGACAGTGCATGTGTGAAGGTGAGGACTTGTGGAGTCAGCACTCTCCTCCACTCTCCGGGCCTTCTGGGCTTGAGCTCAGGTTGTTGGGCTTTTCTGGCAAGTACTTTAGCTGCTGAGTCATCTTGCTGGCCTGTGACAACAGACACTCAGAAGGTGCTCTGCTAGGGAGATGGGGTGGGTTCTTTTACCTAGTAGAAGAGGAAGCCACCACCATGCAGCTGTGCATTTGAAGCGGCAGCTCCAGGTCTTCAGGTCATTGGTGATTCAGTCTGGGCCAGAGTGGCTTTAGTGACAGTTACCGATAAGTGGGCTGACAGACCTAGACAAATCAATGTCCCCTTTTAGTTCTGCTTCATGAAATGCTTCATGTTATAGCAGACCAGGGGTCTGGCCCCAACATTCATTAAATGTTCATATAAACGGTTTAATATAAAACTTTATATCATGTCTGCTGTTTAAATAACGATGCAGACTCTAGAGAGGAAAGTGGAATGGAGAATGGAGAAGGGACACTGGCTTCATGGAGGTGTTCTGAAGACTAAACACGACAGTGTTTTCGGAACTGTACTGTAGAGCCTGCACACTGTTCCACAGGCCATCACAGGATGGGTCATCCTCAGATGAACAGTACACTTGCTAGTTTGCGGTGCTTGAAGTATTTAAATCAAAGCTATCTGAGTCCTACAAATAGGAAAACTACAGCAGCAGATAAAATTTTGTGTGCCTGTAACAGGGCAGATGATGTTTTGAAATCTCTTGACTCATGCTCGTGGGTACACGGATATTTATTCGCATTTTGAAAACAAATCTGCTAATGTATATCCTGAGTTCACAAATCTCTATTTATGTGATGCTGTTTTCATGGAATGGCCTTATAGACCAATTTAATATTTGCTCTGTGTGTATGCCATCCAATTGCAGGTTTAAGAAGTCAGCGTTGGGGTACAGTGACACTGTGAGTTCCGCCATGGAGGCCAGCCCGTGGAGTTTCCTTCAGAGGCAGGCAGCATGGGGCCGGTGAGCACTGGCCTTGCTCCTAATGTCTGTGTGGTGAAGTTATGCTGATTTTAACTATTTTCCTTGAATAAGACATAAAGTATGACAAAGTTGTGGGAACATAGTAAGTGGTTTTTACAGTGGGACAGACTCCGGTTCTAGTCGCTACTTGTTTGCTATTTTATGGTGTTGATGGCAGTTGACAGGAGTCATCAGTCAGTCATTCAGACCTTGTGCTCACCCCTTGCTCCAAGTCCAGTATGCAGGATGCAGTACCTGGGACCTGCCATATCCAAATGATGTCACACAGGTGTCTGGCAATAGTTGCTCTCTCCTTCTACATAACTGTTTTTTGTTTTGGAACTTTCCAGAGCATCTCATTATAAAATAAGAACAGTGAATATTTACCAAAGATGTTTCTGGAGGGTTGATTCATGCTTCCAATCCTCCTGTGTTCTGCATTCTTATGGACTTAGGAAGTAGCAAGTGTACTTCTTCTGTGTGTAAATGACAGGAGACTGGCAGGGTGGATATACACTGGGCTGGTGTGCGGAACATCTTGAGAAGCAGGGGGAAGGGTTTAGTCTAAAATTTTTCTCCAGTGCTGAGGCTTGAGCAAAGGTCCTTGGGCACACTAGCCTAAAGGCTGCATTGTGGGCCACACCCTAAGCCTGAACAGAGTTCTGTGAATTGTTTTACAAGCAGCCGTTCTTACACAGCGGAATCACAGAAGTAGGACATGATGTAAAAATCTTAGCCTGGTCTACAGAGTGAGTTCCAGGACAGCTATGGCTGGTAGACGGAGAAACCCTGTCTTGAAAAAAAACCTTTGCTTTTAACTGAGTGAAGTGTGCTTTTAGTATCTTAGTCTAATGCCTTGCTGGCTGACATGTGAACTTCCTGGGAAACAGATATTTTAAATGGTTGTTATCTTAGGAAGTAAAAGAATAAATGGTATTACAGATGTTTTAAAATAGTTAAAAAGAAAAATGCTGCCTGTTCAGAGTTCCCAGTGACACTTCTTTGTGGGACTGTGTTTTCAGGAGCGTGGTTGACTTCTTTCTGGTGATAACACAGCTGGGATTCTGCAGTGTCTATATCGTCTTCTTAGCTGAAAACGTGAAACAGGTGAGTGTGTTTCTGCAGTCAGTGAGATGTGTTCTTCAGATGCCTTGTTTATTGCACGGCTCATCTGTGGAAGCCACAGTTGAAGCCAAAGGTGTGTTTCACTCAGTCTTTTTTTATAGATTCCTTCTTTAGTGTCTCTTTGACAGGTTGGATTTCTGATGTTATTGCTGTTGGTATTATTATGCCTGACATTATATCAACCGTGCTTGGTTTTGGGGGGGCCAGATGTGGTCTGGCTTACTGTGTCTTGATTATTTCAAATTCAGATCTCAAAAGTATGCACGTAGATACTGGGGGTCACATCCTTGATGTTGTTGATGTTCTTTAAAGGAGGTATAGGATGGTATGCAGCAGCAGGAAGCCAGAGGTCAGAGGGCGAGCGTTTATTCCTAAGGTCCAGTAACTTGCTGTTGTTTTAAAAGGGTCTGGAAACACATGCCGTCTTGCAGTCATTCCCATGGAACGTGATGGCAGCAGAGTCTGGGATCATGGGAGACGGCAGTGATGGAGCTGTTGTCCCATCCCCACCATTTTTACTTGTTTTTTCAGATGGTCTCACTCAATCCAGGCTTGTGTTGAACTTTCTGTGTAGCTCAGGCTGGCCTTGGACCGCCTGATCCTCCTATATTGACCTGCCAAGTGCTGGAACTGCAGATGTGTGCCACCGTGACTGGTCACGGCTGGGTCTCCTAGTTCTCCCAAGAGAGTTGCCGACAAGCCCTGTTTGAATCTAGGAACAATGCCATGTGGTTTTATGTTTACAGTTAACTTTTACAATTACCCTGGAGTAACTCCTGCGAAGTCTTGTGTACATGACTGACATGTACTGAACTTACCGGGCCTTTTCCTGGAATGCAGCCCTCAGTCACAGGTCCCAGCTGCTACCCTAGTGTGTAGCTTGTTGGTTGTGTATTGCCTTGAACTCAGGGTCTTGGCGTCTCATTTTCTAAGTGTTGGGTTTCCAGTTATGTACCGCCACACCTGGTTGGCCACCTTTGGTAATGATTTTTATCACTGGGTAGGAATTTTAGTGTTTTATTTTGGGTGGGGAGCGGGAGAGGGAGGAAACATCTAAAGACTTTTCATGACTTTCTCATATGAAACAATGTCTGTTCCAGCTAGAGTTTAATGGAAAATTTAAGGTACGAGAAGATGAGGTAGAAAAAGTGCCTTCCTGGCTGGTTGGAAAGGGAAATTGTCTTCTACAACTAGAATGATGAAAGACTTTTAGAAGCATAAAGGGAAACAGAAAGACATGCAGTCAGACTTTAGAAAACAGCCCGAGGCAGCAAGGAACACCCACGTGGGCAGGGCGGGCAGCAGCCACAGAAGTGTGAAACTGGAAATTGTCACTCTGGGCAGAAGTTTTCCTCCCATGGTGGGCAGTGCACGTTAGTATGTACACTGGCCAAACCTCACTCGTCATCACCATCACTGTTAGACACCGTGGGATGACCTCACTGGTCACCACCGTCACTGTTAGACTCCGTGGGATGACCTCACTGGTCATCACCGTCACTGTTAGACACCACCGTCACTGTTAGACACCATGGGATGACCTCACTGGTCACCACCGTCACTGTTAGACACCGTGGGATGAACTCACTGGTCATCACTGTCACTGTTAGACACCATGGGATGAACTCACTGGTCATCACTGTCACTGTTAGACACCGTGGGATGACCTCACTGGTCACCACCGTCACTGTTAGACACCGTGAGATGACCTCACTGGTCATCACCGTCACTGTTAGACACCGTGGGATGACCTCACTGGTCATCACCGTCATTGTTAGACACCGTGAGATGACCTCACTGGTCATCACCGTCACTGTTAGACACCGTGGGATGAACTCACAGGTCACTCTTGTCGTAGGGAGACACCTTGGGATGACCTCACTGGTCACTACTGTCAGGGTAACACTGTGGGATGACCTCACTGGTCACCACTGTCACAGTTAGACACCATGGGATGAACTCACTGGTCACTCTTGTCGTAGGGAGACACCTTGGGATGACCTCACTGGTCACCACTGTCAGGATAACACTGTGGGATGACCTCACTGGTCACCACTGTCACAGTTAGACATTGTGGGATGACCTCACTGGTCACCACTGTCACAGTTAGACACTATGGGATGACCTCACTGGTCACCACTGTCATAGGAGACACTATGGGATGACCTCACTGGTCATCACTGTCACGGCGCTTGGTCATAGAGAATGTGAGTTTTATTTTCTCTCTCGTGACTGTAAGCTGATGGATAATTTCCGTCCTCCTCTGTGACTGTACTGCAGGTTCATGAAGGACTCCTGGGGAGCACAGCGTTGGTTTCCAACAGCACAGATCCATCTCAGGCATGTGAGAGAAGAAGTGTGGACCTCAGGGTCTATATGCTCTGCTTTCTCCCGTTTATAATTCTCTTGGTCTTCATTCGTGAGCTGAAGAATCTCTTCATACTTTCGTTCCTTGCCAACGTTTCCATGGCTGCCAGTCTTGTGATAATTTACCAGTATGTTGTTAGAGTAAGTTTGCTTTTGAGTAACCACCTTGTGTTCCCATGTGTATAAAGCATTCTTTGGAGGTGACAGTTGTGATATAGAGAGACCTGTTCCACACACATGGCATGCGGACAGCAGCAAATGTTGATTTCCCTTCAGGGGATAATGTTAATCATGACATAGATGCTGAGAGGCTGCGTCTGGCTCGAATGTTGGGGAGGGGGCTGTGGGTTTGCATCGGTGTTCCCAACCATCCCCCCTTCCCTGTCGCAGCTCTTGTGAGATGAGGGTTGTGCTCTTCCTACAGAGCCCCCCATGACTCAGCCGTGGAGTTACTGTGCTTGTGCATTGGAGCTCTGAGCCAGTCACAAGGATGGGCATGCATGTAATGCTCTAAGGTTTGTGCTTGCTGCCCTGTGCCCTCCACTGCCATGGCACAAGTCTGTGACTGCTTTGTTTGAAGACCATGCAGTAGCTGGAACTGAGGTCATTGTTTGAAGTCTCAGGACTCTTAACCCAATCACATTAGACAGAGGCCAAGGACCCCAAGAAAGTCAAGGATCCTGTTTTATTTCCCCATGATCTAATCTATCAAACATACTACTTCCCAGATATCATAAGATTTCCATGAGAAGTTCATATAAACTCATATACTGGGTCTGTTTCACTTTCCTCCCTCTGGATTCTCAAACTGGTAGGAAAGAAGGTTGCCTGAGCCTTTCTGAGCTTCCCAGTCCCTTAGCTGCACATGTTAGATTGGTGGATCTCTCAGGAGAGGGAAGGGCACAAGGAAGTGCCCTAGCATCCTGCTCACCCAAGTCACGGTTTAGTGGTAGCAGATGATCAGGACCTTTGGACCCCGCTCACTCTGCTCCTTGCTTTCCCTGTCACATGTCTTCTTCATATCATGTAATTCTGCATGTGCCTCAACTGTTACCAACCTCCACGTTGCCCACGTTACTCACATGCTTTCACACTGGTTTGCATAGCCTCTTTCCTTGGCCTTGAGTTCTAATTCAGCAGGTAAGGCAGAGGAGAAGATTGTGGTGAGGGGGGCGACCAGGATTGGGGTGTCTGGAAGGAAGGTCACTGTGGTCAGTGGTTTTGAGCCAGGTGTGTTACAGTGACTTTGTCTAGATCTCAAGAGTGGGAAATATTACCATGAGATGGTAATAAAGGGCAGCGGGGCCATCCACAGTGAGGAATAGGTTGTGTGTGTTGTGTCGGAGCACACACTGAAGCCAGAAGGAGACCTGAACCAGGGAGAGTCAGCACGGCAGTCAGGAGCCAGGGGCCTGAAGGGGTGGGATGCATGGAGACTGCAGCAGCCTGGTGACAGTGGGCTCTGGGTTCTGAGTGTGCCTGCATACTTCTCATGTGGCAGGAGATGTATCCCACGTGTGGCCTGGGACTGGCCAGTGGACACAGGTACTCAGGAGGAATGTGTGGATGTGAGGGAAACAATTCTTTCTGTAACGATGTCCTAACAGCTTAGCCTCCCTTAACATACATATGTAAAACCTTTACTGAATTTCATAAGCCCAGTTGCTCTGTGAAGCTTGGAAGATGTGATTTCTTTTTTCTTTTTTTTCTTTTCTGCAGAACATGCCAGATCCCCACAACCTTCCAGTTGTGGCCGGTTGGAAGAAATACCCACTGTTTTTTGGTACTGCTGTGTTTGCTTTTGAAGGCATAGGAGTGGTAAGAATGAGCCATTACTTGTTTTTTAAACTCTTAACACAAGAATTTTTATAATCCAACCTTATAAAAGTACATGTTTTTTTTTGGGGGGGGGGCAGGGGCAAGGCTTAGTTTCGTGTATTCATAGAACATGATTCCAGTTTGGGGGGTGAATGAAAACAATGAAATCAAAGAAATGAAAGGAGGAGGGCCTGGCTGCCCCTAAGGTGTGAGATTTTTTTATTGTAGATGTGAAGGAGAAGGCAGACAGAGGGGAGAGTCCAGGCTGAACGTGACTGGCCGGAAAGACGGGAGAGGGAGCAAGGGAAGAGCCACAGACCCCGGCCCAGGCCAAGAGGCCTAGCGACTGGGGGAGCCCAGCCCCTGCGGTGGGGAGGTTTAGGGTAGGGGCGGGTGAGGTGTGCTGGGAGGAGCCACAGGCACTGAACAAGACATGTTGTAGCTTTGAGACCTAACAGTGGGGTAGACTTGAACTATTATTCAGTTTTTCTACTGACCAGTTAACTTAACCTTAGACATGTTTCTTAGGTTCTCTAAGTCTTTTCCTTGGTAGGTTAAGTGACAATATGAGACTAGATTTTTAGCATTGGGGTGGGGGTGGGGGGCGGGGGGGGGGGTGGATTTCAAGCCTATAAAAGCCTTAAGGTATTATACTAAAAACTCTTGTTAAGTATCACGTAACTTCAGAAAATAGAACTCACAATTTTGTTTTGTTTGTATCCCACATATTCAAGAATGCCCAAATAAAGCTTTTTTAAAAAAGCAATTTGAAATTCTGTTGTGCATCTGGGTTGTTTTGCTCGGAAGCATGTCTGTGCATCAAATGCATGCCTGGTTCCTGTGGAGGCCAGCAGAGGGTTGGTGAGGCTTTGGAAAAGGAGGTGCAGATGTTTGTGAGCTACCACATGGGTTCTGAGAATCAAAACTAGGTCCTCTGGAAGAGCAGCTAGTGCTGTTAGCCTCTGAGCCATCTCTCCAGCCCTCAGATAACACATTTTTTAAAAGGTGCATGTACTGGGGTGGGTCAGGGGAGTTCAGAGCACAGCTTCAGGAGTCGCTCTCTCCTTTTACATTGTGGGGGCGAGGTCTCTCCTGCTCCTGCTGCTCTGGGGCTCTCCAGGGTAATAGGTCTAGGTAGGTCTCTGTCTCCACCTCCCTCTTTCCACAGGAATGGTGCAGTTATAGATGTGAGGCAGCTTATCCAGCCTCTGCAGGGTTCTGGTGACTGAATCCAGGCCATCAGGTTTGCATGTCAACCTGCCAGCCCCAGCATCACATTACAGACTAGAATATTTGAAGGTTATGGAAATAATTATAAAGTTATTGCCATGTGAAACTCAAAGATAAGTCTCCCTTTGGGTCGGGCACATCATATTTGTTTTAAGGTACAACATCAGTGAGATGTCAGTGCCAGGAGATACATCCTGAGGCCGCTAACATCTTAAGTATTTCTACTCAAAATACTTTCGGTATTTGTGACCTAGAATTTGTAGATTTAGGGAAATTTGAATATTAATGTCTACTGTCTTCAAGTCTGATGGTTTGGTATCAGAACAAAAGCACTTTAAATGCCTCTTCCTGTGAATGCAAGTGAATGTCAGCGTCTCCCCCCCCCC